TGACCAAGCCATTTGTCTCGTGCCATCCATCTCCAGCCTTCCACAAACAGAGGCCAGGGACACCATTTCTACCCCGTGGCTAATAGCACTCCATGGACCCAGCCTCCATGACTTTATCTCACTTCTCTTTAAACTCTGTTCTAGTTCTAGCCTTCACAGCCTCCTGCAGCAAGGAGTTCCACAGGTTGACTATTTGCTTTGTGAAGAACAACTTTCTGTTATTAGTTTGAAACCTGCTACCCATTCATTTCATTTGGTGTCCTCTAGTCCTTCTATTATGGGAACTAATGAAGAACTTTTCTGTATGCACCCTCTCCACCCCTCTCATGCTTTTATAGACCTCTATCCTATCCCCCCTCCATCTCCTCTTTTCTAAGCTGAAAAGTCCCAGTCTCTTTAGCCTCTCTTCATATGGGACCTGTTCCAAACCCCTCATCATTGTAGTTGCCCTCCCCTCTCCCACTCTCTCTTCCCCTCTCCCACCTCCTTTTCCCAGTCTCCCTGAGTTTTGTTCAATAAAGGGAGTTTCTGTTTTTGAACACACGTGTCATTTATTTTGTACATCAGGAAGGGGGGCTAGGGAGGAGTAAGTGGAAGGAGGAATGGGGTACGAGCCCCCGATGGGGAGGACTGGGGTGGCTCTGCGGGCTCCTCGGGTTGGAAGCTCTCCTGCAGCCCCCCGACTGACCCCCCTCCCCGGATGGCAGCCTGCGGTAAGTGCAGCCGGGCCGATGGCCGAGTGCTGTGATGAGCCAAGTGTGGGCACTCAGGGCACTCCAAGACAGGACTGCTTTGCTGTCCCTCATCGAGGTAGACAAGCAAGCGGGGAACCCTGAGAACTGTCTGTCCGTGGTGGGGGTCGGGTTCCTTTAAGCACAGCCCTCGGCTAGCCTGAGACAGCAGCTCCACACTCTAAGTCCTAACCTGATGCCCTGCTGGCACTGCTCCAGCCATCCTTAACCTCGGTTCAGGGTCCACTCAATGTGGACATGCTAGTTTGAATTAGCAAAACGCTAATTCAAACTAGTTTTTAGGTCTAGATGCCTTAGTTCGAATTAGCTTAGTTCGAATTAACTAATTCGAATTAAGTTAGTTCGAATTAGTGCTGTATTGTAGACATACCCCCAGAGAGGGGAATCACAGATGGCGGCCCAGACAGAGGGCCGAGTCAAGAAGTGGGGACTGAGAGATGCCCTAGGTGGAAGCAGAGTCCAGAGCGCTGGTGTGCAGATCAGGGGTGTCAGACTCAAGCTAATCCCCAGCACAGCCAGGAGGAGGCATCACTATGGCGATGAGGGCAGCTTCCCAGCCCCAGATTACTGAATCTAGGCAAGGCATTTTACTGATGAGGTGGGCACCCCTGGCACTTCAGAAAGTCGGCGCCTATGGCTGCATGCCTCAGTGCTCCAAAGCCACCAGGCCCCACTAGTAACCATTCCATAAAACCAGAAAAGCTTTACAGGACCCCTGACGACAGGTGTCAGCTGCTACTTCTACAGACTGTTCTCAGGACACCGCTCAACTGACTGACCTGGCAAAACAAAGAACTACACAGGGAATTCCCACTCTGGCCGCCGGCCAGCACTGCAGGGCACATGGGTGATGCTCCCCTCATGCCGTCATATTTGCCAGGACCGGTCATGATGGGCGACATGGTATGAAAACCTGACAGATGTTAGAACTGTGAGTGTTCAGGTCTGATTACTGCAGGCAGCAGCCAGTCAGTGTATCTCCTATTGTAAGGCAACAGCTGTGTGGCTGGATTGGAGCTTCTGTGACTGTATAGCTCACTAGACAGGAAAGGGGTATTAACTGGTGTGAAGTGCTGGGCTCCAACCAAAGGGGTTACACGCTGCCCAATAGCAGACAGAGGAGCAAGGGACATTACAGGGGAGAAAAGGCATTTTGTTGTTCTGCCCTCCCCATAGCACGAAGAGGAGTTGTGCGAGTGAATTCCTCCCCTTAGCTGAGTTGGCAGCTCAGAGTACAAGGGAGAAGACGGACTAATCCCCCTCCCCTCAAGAAGGAATTTATCCCTGTGGCTATGTACACCGCACTGCTCTTCCTGAAAAAGCGACGCAAATTGCAAACTGCAATTTGCATCGCTTTTTCCACTTTTTTTGGAAGAGGCTTTTCCGACATTTGGCCCATCTACACTGGGCCAAACGTCAGGAAAAAAAACCCTCTTGTAAAATGAGGTTTACAGGGATGTTGAAAAAGCATGTCTGCTCTTCTGGAAAATATATGTACACCGCACTGCTCTTCCTGAAAAAGCGACGCAAATTGCAAACTGCAATTTGCATCGCTTTTTCCACTTTTTTTGGAAGAGGCTTTTCCGACATTTGGCCCATCTACACTGGGCCAAACGTCAGGAAAAAAAACCCTCTTGTAAAATGAGGTTTACAGGGATGTTGAAAAAGCATGTCTGCTCTTCTGGAAAATAGAAAATATTGCGGAAGAGCAGATGAATGCACTGGCCATGGCAGAGTTTCTGGGACACCTCTGGTACTCCAGGAACACTCTGCAGTGTAGACAGCCTGTGTTGCTTGGCCTGGGGGGCAAGGGTTCTAGGAATAAGCAAAGGATCACCAGCTGCTTAGCCTGGATTAGCCCTAAAGAACAGAAGCTTCTGTTAGCACTGGAAACAGAAGACTGGAAGTCAGTGTGTGTGTGTGTGTGTGTTTACTTGCTTTAATCCTATAAAGAACTCTTATTCCCTTGTCCCAGAAAATAAATCTTAACACTGGGGTAAAGTATGTAGAGAACATGGGGGGGAGGGTCCGGCGCCAAACAGTAGCAGAGGGAGGCGATCGTGGCGAGGGAGGGCAGGCGGTGAGGAGGTGCCGGCTCAAGGAAAGCAGGCCGGGTATCTAGACACGGCTGGGGGAAGGGAACCAGTGTGCCCACGGGTGCCGGAGTGGCAGGCCCACAGCACTTGCTACAGGACTCAGCAGAACAAAGGAGGGGCGGGGAGCCAAGCACCGGGGCCAAGAATGGAAAGGGCCCTACCCCAGCTGAGGCTGGGGACAGCAGCAGCAGCAGCAATGCTGGGGCAGGGGACCCAGGGGGAGCTGAACCACCCCTCACCCCAGTGCCCCACAAGAGCTGCACCAACCACTGCCTAGGAACCCTGATGGAAAATGGGCCCCTCAGAAACTCCCCCTCAACACAGAGCAGGCTGTGGTGAGAGGACCCCCCCCAGGAGCTGCCGCCTCCCCTCCTCTGACCCAGGGAGAGCAGCAGCAAGAGCAGTGAAGTCCAGGTCTGCAGTAGAGAAGAAAAAGGGGCCATGTGGACCCCCAAGAAGATGAAAGGGGGGTGTCCTCCCCCTTCCCAGGCCCCCACGGCCAGCCCCAGTACCCTCAACAGCTAGCTGAGGTGAAGGGGTAGAGGGAGGAAGCTGCCTGCAAAGAAAGCAGGTCAAGAGAAGAGGAGGCCTGGCCCAGAAAAAGGGTGTAGCCAAGGCCAGCCTGCCACAGCAAAAGTAACCCCTCCCCATCCCACACACACACCCCTCCCAAAAAAGAAGAGGGGAGGAGCTCGGGGGGAGAATGTGTGACAGATCTAAGCCAGCAGCCTGCCACACTCGGGTCCTATTTGGTGTTTGGGGGGTGGGCAGGCGCCAGCCCGCCCACATCTAAAGGACTCCTCCCAGCCTACGGCGAGGGTCCGCAGCGCCCAGAAAACCAACTACAGTAATTACTTGGGACAAAAAGAGAAAACAGGGACAGGCGTGAAGATCAGAGGGCTAAAGCGAGGGAACCGGATGGGGACACCGAGCAGAGAACCCTGGACAGCGTCCACGGCCCCCGAAGATAGAGAGAGCCAGCGGACGCCGCCCAGTGGAACTCTGCCCAGATACGTGAGCGGATGCAGGAACGGAAATAGGCCCCAGTCGCAGGCCCCTCCCTCGGCCAACCTCTGCTCCCTGGTTTTGTAAACTGCCAGTGTGGTCATAGCCAGGAGGAG